AGAGAGAGAGAGAGAGAGAGAGAGAGAGAAGTTCTAAGTTAAAATAACGAATCTGAAAACTACCAGTTGGGTTTCCATGTAAGCTTTTTGGGCTCTTTCTGCTGCATATGGCACTGTGTTAATGTTGACACGGTCTTTTTTGGGGTGACATCTCAGAACAGAGCTACTGTATGTACTTAGCGTGTCTGACAATCTGACTTCTTAGAGAGCAATATGGCATAGTCTTTCTTTGTTCCAAAATGGAATTATAGAACTTTTAAGTTACCTATCTTGAGCTCCGCCTTTCTGGTGACTTTTTTGAGAGTGCAAACAATTCCTTGGGTTATTAAATACGGTTCCATATATGCATGGTTTCTTGAGTTTAGTTTTCAAATCTAAAAGACAAAAAGTCTAAAAAGAAGCAAATGTTAAGTTCACTTGAAGGAAAAAATTTTTCTAGAAAGAGAAAACCCTTTAAGAGAATGTACACTTTATAACACAAAGTATGCATTAAAGTTCTGTTTCTACCAATAAATATGAAAATCAAAACTGTTGTAACTCGGGTGGTGGTTATTTTGTTTTGTTTTTCTCTTAAAGGTCCACTGAGATCCTAGGCCCCGTAACTCTTTGGTAATGGCTTAAGTTTTTACATCGTTGTGTCCCCTGTGTGCTCCATGAGAACCCTGGTGTGGTGCTGCAAGGTTAACATGACTGGGAACTGCAAGGTCAGTGGTTCAAACCCATCAGCCACTCTTGGAAACCCTGTGCAGGGTCACTAGGAGTGAGGACTGACTGGACGGCACAACAGCAGTGAATGATTAACTGTGTTCACAGGTGTGTATGCAGCAAAGGGGAAATACTTCAGGCCTACCCGATGGTGGCACTGCAGGATAAACATTGGACTGCTAGCCACAAGGTCAGCAGTTCAAACCCACCAGCCGCTCCTCTGGAGAAAGATGAGGCTCTCTGCTCCTGTAAAGACTGACAGCCTTGGAAACCCTGGTAGGGTTGCTAGGAGTCAGAACTGACTCGATGTCAGTGGTTTGGTCTGCTTCGGTGGTTTCAGGAGCCATATAGTGTTGCAGGTGTTGAGGGTTTTGTAGAAGACAGAACTCCGTGGAAATGACGGATGGCTTTCAGAAATGGAAAGCCAGCTGATGGAGTAAATCACGTCTTCCTGCTTCGTTATGAAATGTGTGACAGTGTCCTTGGTATGCTCCCAGGGCACACTTGCCACACAGACCTCGTCAAGGCCACATTGGTAAGATTTAGCTATTTCTGTTTGAAGATTTCGTTTTTTCTTTTTAAACTTTTAATTGTGAATTGAGTGCAAGGTTTACAGACTAAATCTTCAGTTTGATACCCAACATATCACCCACTTTGTGTCACCTCAGTGATTGCAGGTACCCCCCCCTCGTAATAACAGTGATCCCACTTTCTCACTGGCCCTCCTATGTCCAGTGCACCCTGCATCCCAATTCCTGATCTTGAATGGTTGGCCATTCCGTGCTGAGCACACCTCTCGTTTTACTGGAATCCATTATACAGCTGACAGCTGCAGTCAAGAAGTCACATGACCTATTGCATTGGGTAGATGTGTGCATAAGAACCAAGATGCTTGGTTTGAGGACTGCAGTGCCTCATATGTTTGGGCGTCCTGGAGTGGCATTGTAGGGTAAGCACGGCTGCTAACTACGAGGTCGGCAGTTCAGATCCAACAGATGCTCCTTGGAAACTATCCTGGTTTGCTGTGAGTTGGAACTGACTCAATGTCACTTAACAAGAACAACATGTGCATGTGAAATCTGGACCGAACAAGGAAGATTGGAGAATTGATAGCATGTGAATTACAGTGTTGATACAGAATACCAGCTATCTGCAGTCTGCCAGAACAAGCAAATTTGTCTTGGATAAAAGGTACAGCTAGAATGCTCTTTAGACGCAAGACAGCAAGCCTGTCTCTCAGTCTGGAGCACAACACTACTGGGAAGTTAGTCAGGGATAAAGAGCTGCAATGAGGCGGACTGACACAATGGCTTCACTCATGGACACAGCCATGGCAGTGACCGTGAGGATGGCACAGGACCAGGCAGTGTTTTGCTCTGTTGGACGCAGGGTTGCTTTCAGTTTTGATGGCACCAAGCAACAGTAATTGCAGATTGCATTGTTTGTATTCTATTATCTGCCTTTTTCTTGACTAGGTTACAGATTTGTAAATTTTGTTGATCTAAGACTAATAAAACTAATGGTTGACTTTGTCAGTTATTTCTATGATTGATGACTTATTTTTTAATTTAATCTATTTTTCCTTCCTCCTGTTTACTTTGTATTTACTTCACTCTTTAGCTTCTTCAGATGGAAACCTACACCATTGACCTTTGATCGTTTTTAGACCATTAAGTCGTTTTAGCTGCATCCCACAAGGTTTGATACTTTCTACTTTTCACTGAGTTCAGTATATTTTCTAATCTCTTATGACTTCTTGGATTGACAGACATATTACTTAGAATATGTTGTCTCGTTTCCAAATGCCTATGGCTACTGATTTCCAATTTAATTCCATTATGGTCAGAACAAAAACAGCATGCCTTTTTTTGGCTTGAATAGTTCTGTATTTAAATGAAATTTGAAATGCCTTGATGCATAGATTGGTTGGAGAGACTATGTTGTTAACTAAGTGCCATTGAATGGGTTCTGACTCGTACTGACCCTGTATAGGGTTTCTGAGGAGCATCTGGTGGGTTTGAACCACTAACCTTGTGGTTAGCAGTCCAGTGATTATCGTACAGCTCCACACCAGAACTCCAATAAAAATATAGTCTTAGGAATCTGTCTCAAGTTTATGTATGAATCTCCTGCACACAGGTAGTTACACCTGTGGAAGGGTGAGTGAAAGATATAACACAATAGAGCAACAGTAAAAACGTTTCCCACCAATTTGTGTCAATAACTCAGCTCTTATTATTTTATGGCCCCACAAGAATTTTGGGAGCCACATTGCATGATGGACTGGCATACGCAAGTTTACATGTTCAGTTCTGCGTCTGTAAAAGTGAAAAGTTTCCAGATCGAAGTTGCCCTGATCTTTCAATTGCTCACACTCTTACTATGGATACAGACAAGGAGACAAAAGTCCTGATTCTTCACCTGGTTTTACAAAGAAAACACTCATCAGCAAAGATACACAGATACCCTAGGATTGTTTAGGCAGAGCGGGGAAGGACTAGAACGACCTCACAGCACTGTTTCAGATGTATCATTGAGCTGCTCCCAGTGGATCAAAACCTCCTGAATTCTTTCAGCATATTTCCTTCCTTTGGTTCCATGATATACTGTCAGGAAGGAAAGCAATGCAGGGAGCTCACAATCCAACCACAAATTCCATTTGTTCAGAGCTTGCAGTATTCCTTTTGCAAAGTCCACATCCTCGTGCCTGTTCAAGGTCACTAAATGCATTTTTTCCTCAATCCTTACATTGGCTTATGGGATCCCAAGTTGCATAGGGTAATGAGAGTTTCTGAAAATAAAAGAGTACTTGTTAATTAGGAATGAGAAAGAGCACCATGCAATGGGAAAACCAATTAGGCTATCACTTTGTCCTCACCAGGAACAGGACAAATTGATACTGTATGCCCCTGATAGTGAAGTCACGAAGACACAATCTATCCTGTATAATAGTCTCCCAAATGTTTCATCTGAACATTATTTGGGATCATACACCAATGAGCCAAATTAAGGGACAGTCTTTAATATGAGATAGCCTGAACTCTGTACTTGAGTAAGCACTCTTACATGTCCACAGTATTTTAGTACTACTTATCACATACACCTTGAAGTGTAGTAGTATATTAGTAATTTTTCTCTTTAAAGATAAAAAGTCAGGCTTTTAAATAGGTGACTATCCTTACTGAGGAGTCCTGGTGTGGTGCTGTGGGCCAACGTGTCAGACTGCAAAGTCATTTGAACTGCAAGGTCTGTGGTTCAAGCTCACCAGCTGCTCCCTGGCAACCTTATACAGGGTCGCTATGGGTGGGAATTGACTCGATGGTACTTAACAACAACAACGATCCTTATTGAAGTTTATTGTGTCAGTGTCAAGGGCTGGACTAAGAATAGGAAGAAAAGCCTGCAATCTACTTCTGAAAACCAGGCAGCTTAAACCTTCTGGATCATAACTGCCTGATATAGTACTGACAGATGAGCCCCACAGCTTTAAGGCACGTACAACACAGTGGAATCAATAATGGACCCAAAACGTACCAATGATGAAGACCGTACAAGACGGGGCAGAGTTTTGTTCTTTTGTACATGGGATGTTACTGGCAACTAAACAACCTTGGCTTCCAGATCCGTCACATTAACCTACAAACCAAACAACATTTACTTATAAATTTATTACCGGGTACAAGTTGATCTGTAAATGGT